TGGAGACTACGTCTGATTCAGGGTAGTATTTAAACGCAAGCAGAACATGACAAATGCTGATCACCAAATAGAATAATAAAAGTCTCTTCCTTATAAAAAAATTAAGGTAAAACATTTCCTTAAAATTTCCATTTTAGATGGATAACGCTTTTCTGGTGTAAACAAGAAATGAGGAAACCCAAATTAAATGAATATTTTGTGAAGTCGAACGCCAAAACACATATTGACAATGATTGTTGATCATAGGATGATATCTTCCGCTAATAACACCGCTCTTCTGACGTTACGTTATTGTCTCGAGTGCATCCATGTCTCGATATACGCACAGGTAAAAGCATGAGCAAATTCTTTCATAAAAACAAGAGCGACAACAAGGATCTGCGCGAAGAAGCCTTTTATTGTGATAGACTACAATTGTCATTGTTTTGGTTTTGGTCAATTCCCAATTAACAACTGTTTACTTTACTCCCTAGGTTGAATAAATTGAAAAACAACAATAAAAGCGGAAATTTTACCTTTAAATTTTGTTAATGACCAATCGGTCACCTTTTTTGTTCCCAGTGAATGTCTTTCGGCCAAAACTTGCTGCAGCTCGTCTTCCGACAAATTTGCGAAACGTGCAACTTACGAGTTTTTTTTGGCTTCATTTTTGTTGCTTGTTGGAAAAGGACCTAAAAGGTTAGTGCCGATAGAAAAATTGGGCAGTTCTTCGCTGGTTTCTTCCATATTTCAAAGAGAAGGAAAACTGCACTGCAGCTTAAGGTGATTCCCTTGAAATTGTTCTACTATCAAACTTTTTTTGAAACTTGGTATAATTAACATTCATGATATAAACATTAAAAAAATGCAATAAAAAAATGGGGTCACCGTCCATGTTTACGCGTCAGCGGGCTCTTAAAATGGGTATTTTTACTGGTTGTAGGTTAAAAATTCGAATCACCTTCATACAGAATTTAGCCTTGGTAACTTGAAAGACAAAATTTTATTTTGAAATTAAAGCTTCTTTTATTAAAATAAACAGTATTGCTTCATTTTACCTGTTTCTGATTGCCTGGTTGTGGGGATTTTGCACTTTTACGGACAGTTCCGTGGTTAGCTTGAAGTCCTCGCCTTAATTAAAATACACCAAGTGCGGAACTATTTTCCAAAAAAATTCATGTTCTGTCATCAAAATTTTTTTCTTTTTCAAATATGTTCGTTATTAGACTGTTCTTAGCAAATGCCCGAAAAGAAAATCGGGTGTCACCGTGCTTGTTTCCTCACAAACTGCCGTGAAAGGTGGACATAGTTTTCAGATCGCAGTCAAGATATAGAATTTGCGCGGTGGAGACTGGGACGAGACACAAAATGGCGCCCATCGTGTTCGAAGTCTGCTGGTCAGCATTAGATTCCATCCATCAAAACCACCTTGGTCGAGAGGGACTGAGATGGAATGATGGAAAAAAATTACGAAGCTACGACAACATGCCGACTTATCCCGATGACCCAAGTGTATAATTTGTTTGGGAAATTGCGTCAAAACTTTTTACTAAAGAAATGGTAAGTATTAATTTATTGTTCGATTGTAGTATTATAAAACATTTTACGCAATTTTATGCAGATATTTCACGTATTTAAAAGGTGCCTAGATGTTACGTAGTTTTGGTGGATGTCATTAGGGAACATCCACCAAAACTTTGACCAAAACCATCAACAATATATTTTTTAAATTTTATCTATAGCCATTGTTAGATGTTCAGGGAGACAAAAGATTTATACCACTAATTAGCAGTTCGTGCTCTGGCTAATTATTTTTTATGGTGCACAATTGCTGACCGACCAAACGTTCATAATGATTATCATAACTCTTAACACATAGAATAAAGTGGTTTTGGTGGATGTTTCTCTCCATCCACCAAAACCACCACAGAAATTTCTGCTACTTCCTTACAGAAGACTGATGTGACCTGCTATTTGGAGTACATAACCACAATCTATTTCTTTGTATGTAGAGATATTTTGGAAAGTTCTTGAGTCAGCACCTTTTATTATTGAAACCATAATCATAACATGGTGCATAATATAGAATACAAAAGGTTCTGGTGTGGTAATCATGTAATCTTGAAACAGGAGAGTTTTTAACTGACTTAAACTGATTTAAACAAACATTTGCAACAAAATTCCAGGTCTAGAAATTTCTTCCACTATTTCCGCTAAAATCATAACCTTTAAGTACAACAAATCAGCACGTTAGTAATTGTTATCAGGGGTCTGAAAATCCTATAAATCTTTCACATTTATTTCAAGTAACCTTTAATTTCACATGGATGAATAAGTATACACTCAACATGCAGAATGTCTTACATTTTACAAACTATTTCCCTTTTTATGGATAGCCAGTGAAAGGCCTTTGCCACATTGGTGAGTCAAACCATTGTATACCATGCATTTTGTGATAATTGTTTGTTTTTGCTCACAATACCCAGAAAAATGGAGGGGATAAATTTAAATAGCAAATTCTATGGTTAAAATTAAATAACATTGGAAGATCAAATTAACTTTGTACTGTTTAAAATTCAGTTTTGGTTTCTTGCTTATTCCAGCCTCTTGATATTCAAAAGCATTCCTTGTCATTTTTGTGTTCTTCTGTGTACATAACTTGAAAAATAAACACAGAGAAAGGAAACCACAAAGGATTAAACTTGAAGCTAAAGCAAAGTTTAAGTTGAGCCATAGCTGATCCAAATACTGAGCACTTTGTATTGTAACCCATTTAGCAGTAAAGTTTATCTATATGTCTGCCAGCTTGTCACAAGTCTTACCCCTCTCCTTCAAAAGTCTCTATAAATAAATTTTTCTTTGTGGTCCCTAATTGATGATTAGTATATTACAGCTCCTCAATTTTCCTCTCTCAAGACAAGGTTACTCTAAATTTAACAAAGTAATGGACTTGATAAAACTCAAACTATAACTCAGCTGGCTGCTACTTGCAACCTTAATTTCTAGATATCAGTATACAATAATCAATATGTTATAAATAAGAACCCTAATGCATAATTTTGCAGTGATCACCTTCCTCCTTTTCATTTGCAGACCAGACTGGAACCTCTATAGGTGTGTTTGCTTGTTTTGAGTGGGGATGGAAGAAAAGGAGTCATGCCGCATATCTGATTTATTAAATTGGATTTGTTCTGTTTATACATGAGTAGAACTACCTTGTTCTCTGAAAAAAAATTTCTCGCATTTTTATCTGTGCTTTGCAGTCAAACTTCCTTGTGTCTTGGACAAGAAATCTTATTTTCTTGAAAACAAAATCTTTGTTTCCAGCCTTCTGTAATAGGTAAATATAACAGTGTAAGATGAGTGACAGTGTATTTCTCAAGTTATTTTTTGGAATGTGACAAAACGGAAGTGTCATAGTGTGATAAGGAGCCAACATATGATTGCTTGATAGAAAGCAAAAAATGCAGAATTGCATATATTTTCTCCTTTGTCAGCAGCATATGTTAGTGAAAAGTTCTTATAATTGTTAACTTCTAAACCATCTTCAATTTAGTCAAGATTGAACTGTTATCACGTTTGTCATAAAAGTATTCTGAGATCAATGTCATATGAACCATTCATGTATTTGACCTTTTGAATTAGCAAGCCATAGTTGACAGAAACACAAAGGTTGAGGATATAAAGAAATTATTATATACAGTACTTCTTCTGCATCTTTTCGTTTCTTTTTCTCTCCAGCTGTTCTATCTATGCCGTGCCGGCAATTGCACTTTCCTTCCCAAAATTAGGAAAGGCAAACCAGTAAAAAACGAATTTTTGCTCCTTAAATATCTCATGCATCTTCCCCCAGTATTTTGTGACTTCTGTCCGAGGAAGGAGGAGTAAGCATTAAATTAATCCGAATGATTCCACAATTGTGGTAGAACTTGAACTAGATAAACTAGTGAGAATGCACAATAGCGATAGCAAAGCTTTGTAATGTCAAAGAGCTATATCAATATATATATATATATATATATATATATATATATATATATATATATATATATACACCGGTGTTCCCGAAACCTTTGACAGCTTTAAAGAAAGAAAACTTCGTCGTCAATCCTGTTTCAAATTCCGCAATAAGTTTATGCGCCTCATCAACAGAATTTACGTATCCTAAATTATCTGCATGTCTACCATCAATGGTTCGCGACTTAAAATTCTCGCTATGCTGTTTCTGTTTGTTCCTCAAGAATCATGGGATTTACAGCTTCGGATGTTCGGCCACATCACTTGCGGATTTCCGAGAATCTTCGGTTATGTTTTGCAAGTCATTAAATATTCCATCTCAGTCCCTCTCGACCGAGGTGGTTTTGGTGGATGGAATCTAATGCTGACCAAGTCTGCTCTCGATATTAAGCTTGTTTTCGGTTGTTTTTATGTGTTTGATATTGCCAACACTGAAATTCATACTTGGGAAGATGCAAAAATAACAAATAATGAGGTAAGTCAAGATTTGATGAGATTTTATAGTTATGAACCTTTAGTTGAAACAATTTTGTAGCGCAGGCGTTTTGTTAATATTCCAGTGAGCTAAGGTTCGATTTTGTTTGCTTTGGGGCAATAAAGGCTTGACAAAAAAACTTGAAGAAAACGACTGTTGATCCTTATTCTTTGTATGTTTTCTTGTTTGGTTTCTATATACAGAAAAATGTGAATTCTTCAGCCATCACTCTAACAAGAGTGATATATACAGTACAATGTAGTATACTCTGAAAAATACAAATTGTACTTTAAAATTTGTAAATCTTCCGTGCAAAAATGATTTTCAAACTTTTTACATTTTGTACACCTTTCATGCTTCAACATGCCACTAAATTAAGTTGATCCTCTTGGTCGTTGGTTCCACAGAATCGAATTGAATATAATATTAATATAGACCCTTTCAGAATTACTGTTTGCATTCTTGTTTGCAACCAAACCAAAAGAGTAAATATTAGTTTTACAAAACATTAATTGCACAAATTGCAATCTTAATTTGCATTATCTATAAAGTACGGACATATTTGTGCCAGCACTCGCTTGTTTGAGGAGACTCTGGGTTTGTTGTCAAACCTCTCCATCAGAACTTGCTTCACCTCTTCTTCCTTGCCTCTTTGGTACACCACTTGTAGGTGATGGAGACCCAAATCCGAGCTTGCACACTTAATGGCCATTGAGGCAGAAATGTACTTCTCTCTAACTAATGGCTGTAGGGTATTAACCAGAAGATTCTTTTCTTTTAGGAGCTTCTGATAGGATGCCACCCATGAAACTTTGAAGCTGTGCTTTTGTAGCAGTTTGACATTTAGAAACTTGTTCACCAGCTGGTAGAGTGTTTGCACATCTGCAAGAGCATTGTGAGCTTCATAGGATTTACACAGAAGATCTTCTACAAGGTTTTCCTGGCTATGGGATTTTCTTTCAGGAAGCAATTCCCTGAATGCTGGAAGAGAGTATGTAAAGCCAGAAACAGTTTTAGCTAAGTCATCCATGACTCCATTTTTCTCTGCTGCTTGCACCAAGAACCTGGCATCAAAGAATTTGCAATTGTGTGCAACTAAAATGCAAGGCATTCTTAATTTGAGCCACTCAATGAATTTCTTCAGGGCCACATCAATTGCAAGGACATCAGTGATTGGCTTCCCATCATAAAGCAGCATTCCTCTTTGGAAGATGAGTTTGTTCACAGCAGATGCTTCTGCTGATATTACATGACAAGGCTTTACATAAATAGAGAAATCATCTTTACTATCTGTTGCTGCAATTTGTAGGATTTCAGCATCATTACCTGATGTCAACAAAGATAAACAAATTTTAAGATATTGTAATCCAATTATTACTTTACAAAGATATTACAAGGAAAAATGTAATAAAAAAGCTTAGTGCATCTATGCAGGTGATATTGGAAATAAAAATAGAACGAGCAATTACTGAATACCTGTCCTGCTAATTTGCATCTCACCTATTTTCTTTAAGAACAAGGCATGATAAAACGAAGGAATCTATGTGATGCGAATTAGCAGGATGAGTCTTCAGCAATCTAACAAAATAGGAAAACAATTCCATGATTAAATATAATTATTCTATAATGTGCAATTCAGAAATACCCTGCGAAGACAAACATGGCTATCTTCACTTTGTTACTTTTTTGCTGAACTCCACCCTGCAAAGCTAATTACCCCTTCCAGATGTTTCCAAATCAAATATGATTTGATGATGGTCTTTGCTTAATAATACTTTCTCAATCTTTGAGGCTGCAGGTGGTGCTGGAATTTCCTGAGTGGCATTATGTCCATTGAAGCCCATTCCAGAACTATATTGTTGTCCTTCTCTGTTCTCAAGCTGTTTCGTCTTTTTCAATCGCTTCTCTTTCTTTTCAATTACTTCTCTTCTTGTACTCTCTTGTTTTCTGTTTCTCTTTCAAATTCAGGATTCTCTTGTCCATTTTCCTTGCAAATTTTAAAGAATTCGAACCTGGCGACAGTTGTGTCTTCATAAAAGCCTAAAAGAAATTCACCTGTCTTAGCAAAAACAATAGTCTAAGCTATAGTAGAATGTTTTTTTTATTTTTCTCGGTGACTAATGTTATGCAATAGGTACTGTTGGTATAACACTGAACACATTGGATAATGTGTCATGTTCAATGGATCTCACAAATTGGGAAGTGTACAAAATGCTCATGATATTATATCTGCTCACCTGGGAAACATAAGAATGGCCTAAGTTCTTTTGGCCAAGAGCACATGCAACCCGGAAGTTGTTGCTTTCGTTAGATCCGTAGTGCCTGATCTTTGGAGCTTTGCTTCCTATAGTGTTGTTGAGTGCTTCATTTGCCTGGCTCGACCCAAGGGGAGCTATCTTCTTGGCATTTGAAACATAAACCTAAATTGAAGAAGGAAATGGTTTTTATTTACTAAAATTTGGTATCTTATATAGCTTGTGAAACTAAGAAAGAGGTTGATAGTCCCCTAACACTTATAGCTTTATCCCTCGAAGTTATTATTTAGAATACAATCATAAGTACTAACATTATTTTCTTAGAGTTGTGTTTCTCTACTACATGTAAAATGGCGGGAATTGGGAATTTGTGAGGAGCAAGCTGTACCACCATACATGTACACTATACCTACTTCTATGATCTTTTCCAGGGACTGCCTCAAGTTTCTGTTTCTGTTTGTTTTCTGTTTGGAACAGATTCCACAAGTCTCTCTTTGGAGCAATAACACTGTGAATTCAACTTATTAACAACTATTATTATAACTATTATTTTATTTTTATCATTACATACCTGGTTAGTAATTACCTTTTGACTAGATCGACACAAACATCAGCTTCCATAGCTTTTGATGGGCCTTCCCAGTTGAGCCTACAGTCGTGTATGCGAGGCTTTTTTGATTGTCTGCTGGCAGTTTCACATGTTGCACACCTTTACAAAAGACATTATGGGTAAAGGTCCTGGGTAACACTTTCAAGAGGAGGCAAATATGGGTGCTGTAATATGTTGAATGACTCTGTACTTTTTGTGGTCAAATTGAAAAAAAAAACATTGCTCTTGTTGTTTAAAACAAGGTACTAGTAGTCAAAATATATGTATACACATTACCTTTTTGACCTTGAACCATAGCAAATCACCTTGCCAGTTTTTAGGCCAACCATGGAGCCAACACCTAATGGTGAAAATACGGATATATTTTATTTAATTAACTTTGACCATTGGCTGACACCAAAACTGTCAGTTAGCCAAAGAAAAATCCACAGAAAAAAAATTACAGCTTTCTATGAAAATGCATACCCAAATGCACCCTTTTCAATTCTTTCAGATGTAGAATTTGCAGTGTACCTGTCAGGCTGTTCTGGGCTTTTCCCCTTTTTTGCCATCCCATGTCAAATGACGCTCCTATCGCCACATTTTCCTTTTCATTATCCTCTTTCCACAGGTTTCTTTCGCTTTCTAAACTTTCCAGACATGATTCCTTTGCCAACTTTTCAATTTGGGGCCCTACTTCCCTCTCGCGAGCCTTCAGCGTGGACTCTCCATGTGATGTTACGTTGATAGATGACAACAACTCGTTTACGTGGGTAGGACCTATGCCTGCGTGTAACATCCCTATAAATATGTCGATTCAACTAATTAAAAAATTGGCTAGATGTTAAATGGATGCTTTAATTGTGGAAATCAATATTTTTAGCAACATTAAATGTAAAAAAATCTGCAGCGAGCTTCGTGTTTACATCAAAGATTGGTCTCCCTCGCGTTGTTCCGGCGCTACGGTGGGTCTTGTTTGTTCGACAGATATTTGTCTCTTCACACTCGGAATTTGAACAGCATACGTATAGTAGTGATCCTAGCCCAGACACTGTTTCTTTTATGCAGTTGGAGTGCCGTAGAGCTGCCCCACAGGCTTCACAGCGCCCGTCCAAAGCCTCAGGGAGGACATTTAATTCTACAACTCGACGGCCGCGAAGTGGAAATCCACTGCAGACTTCCAGATCACGCACACTTTTTTCATTTTCTTGGTTTTTGAGAGCAGACCAGGAAGCTGTCAGCCGATTTGCGGCATTCTTATTATGAATAAAAGCTTTCGCTCTGCAAAAGCGGCTCTTGTCTGTTCTTTTCACGCAAGCGGGAAGAACAGCTGCCATCTTGGATGTCGCAATTAATGTTATGCGCGGAAAAAGGTTGCGCAGTGCAAAACAAGGGAATCACCTTAAAAGGATGGAAACTCTGAAGCCAGGTAAAAAAAATGCTCACGTCATCTTATTAACGCACGGACGTGCGTAAACAAAGATTTTGTTCATAGCAGCTCAATGGAACTTATATAGGGCAAGCACGCGCTATGTTGTAATAGAGAATTGGTCCATGCTTAGCGTGCGAAAATCGAGGTATGGATGTACGCGGGAAGTTTGGAGAGCACGAGATACCTCTTACCAACCGAGTTCGAGGGCCGCTCTGCACGCTACGGACCGAGTTTTTTTCGCTCCGATTTATGGCCCAAATCGAGCAGAAAAAACCAGGTTAGTATTTACAGCTAATAGTTATGTTATAAACCAACAAAATTTTCTGAGGCATCTGCATCTTGCATTGAAAGGAGACGTGAGATGGACGAAGTCCGTATAGAGTGGTTAATGACTCTACTGCGTATTCCAGAATTTTTGACGGCTTCGGAAATAAATTTGCCAAATTGTTCTTTCCTAAAGGACTTCTCATGTACCAAACTTCATCACCTGGTTTTGGTGGTGTTTACTGCAACGAAAAACGGTTTATTTCGAGAACAGTGACAATACTCTAACTCAGTTTGGGCGGGTCATGTTACTGATAAACCACCAAAATGTATGCTAAGACGTGTGTTTCACGCCACTCAACCAAACATTACCAAAGGGAGAAATGGATTCATTGGGACTTGCTGTATCTGTATAGCATAAATATAACTACGCAAATTATGTATTGGAGATGATTCGGCATCAGAGTGAAGGGCCCCACTTTTCGCTATAAAACTTTATTGTGAAGGATCATGCAGCGGGATGCTGAATTAAATGACCTAATAATTGTGTTATTTACTTTATCAATAGGGTACTTTATTGTGCATTTCCACAACATTCGCAGTACTCATGATTTCTAGACAATTTATTTCCCTTTGAATAGGCAATTTAACAGTTATGTACTTGGTTACCAAGCCTTTGATTTGGAGTGAGGCTGAAGGTGACGTTGTTAACGTTGTGATAGAGAACAGTATCTAGTTAGCATGATAACAAAGTAATTTGCATTAGAAAAGCAGCAAGGTTTGTATCATAACAAGGTCAACCTTAGCCTCACTCCTGTTCAAAATGGACAATTGAACCCGTATTCTTGTTCCAGCACGCAGATATCCTGCATTAAGAAGGAACTGGGAACTTTTTTAACTCGTTTGATAAGATATCTCACAAACCTCAACCGACAGTAACTTATTTTGAGACGTAAACATGGATATCCAGAAGTTTTCGTTGTATATCCTATTGTTTGTCGCTTATCTAGAAGAAACTTACGGCTCTGAAGGTCAGTAGGGCAGATTGCAAGAAGTTACACCTTTGTACTCTTTTAAATAATTCATAAGTGTGCGGTTGACGTCGGATTAAGAGGGTGAAACTTAATAGGTGTAGCCGTTTATAAAAAAAATATGTGCTTTGTGATAAAACAATCATGTCGTGCCAGAAGTTAACTAAATAAACAACGGGATTTGCACTTCTCGAAATTGTTTCAGAAGAACCAATACATTTCAGAGAGCTACAGTTCTGCATTGACTCAAGAGAACCAATTTCTGAATAACTACGTTCATCAATATACTTTAAAAATCATTAAAATGGCCCTTAGTAATACTAAGATCTGCATTTTGTATCCTTCGTATTTACGCTAACCAGCGCTTTCCATCTCCCATTATTTTGGCATTTCACCCTAGAAATGCTTTGAACCCTTTTATTTCGAAATCAACAGATTTCATCTGGCACAAAGGGTATTAAAAGATTCTTTCTTTATTCGAGTGGATGGCATTGTTCAAATACAAGATAATTTGTACTCTCTTGAATTGTTCTAATTGCACCTTGTCAAACTGGCTCTGCTATCTGATTTTGGCATTGATAAAATGTTGACAAAAATATATCTATTCCCAAGCTGGGCTGCTTCCTGATAAATTGGGTTCCAGGGGCTAAGAATCAAAATAATAGACTTATGATACTCTCAAATTATACTCGAACAAAGGCAAATAGCGTTTAATTATTAAATTGTCTGCACAACTACTGAGAGCAATTCAAGAGGAGCTATTTGTAGAAGGTAAACATGATTGTCTCGAACTGATTTCGTGAAAGGGGTTTCTCCTTCGTTACCACTGAAAGCAACTGTAACATTCGCTTGCTCATCAAATAACACAAATTCCACAGACGATTCCCAACCAAAGACAACTGGCCCTCGATTGTCTTGGACAATTGGCGCTTAATACGGTGCCGATTAATAAAGGTTCATAGACAGGCTTAATTTGTTCCCTAAATACCCCACTAGCTCTCTCACTTTGTAAGCATCCTGTTCTTGATTTTCTTGATCATCAGTGAAACACAAATTCAACTAATTTACATTGATTTCTGATGAACTGATTTCGTGAAAGGGGTTTCCCCTCATTACCATTACAAGAAAATATAACACTCTCTTGCTAATCAACTCACACAAATTCCACAGACGATTCCCAGCCAAAGACAATTGGCTCTCTATCAGTTTCTATCATTGCATGCAGGGATTTTTTATACATATCTTGTTATGAATAATCAAATAAAGTAGCGTTAGCAACGTAAAAATATGTTTACATCTCCTCTTTTTGCTTCAAAACTTTCTTCATTTTTCCTTCGACTTTGGCAATGGTTTCGTAGTGTCTGAGTAACTTCGTTAGATGTCCATTGTATAACCTTCTGTAAAGATGCAATGACGGGGAAAACTAGCGTTTGAGAAAACCCACACAATCAGGAGACAACAAGAGGTACATTAGCGAGGGTTTGCGGACACATATACAGGTTATATTGTTGCTTCCATCCTCCCAATCACCCTTTCCTGCAATAAAAATAAAGTGCCCGCTTGGAGGGTTAAAAATGAAAGCGATAATTATTTTAAAAATCAGCTCCATCTTCATTTGCCAGAGGTATGCAATCGATGGCCTATTTGAGGAATTTGATATTTGTTTCGTCGTGTTCACTGAGACGTTCCTTGTCTTGTATTTTTTTTTTCGACCTCTTCTCCAACAGCAATCGCGGTTATTTTCTTCACGGGGATTCTAATTTTTCTGGATAATCCAAAAATTGTATAGATGTTCTCAATATTGGGAGAAAAACTAGGATGGCGAAAGAAAAAAAAAACAGCAACCAAGTCAACCCACAAGTATCGCCGGAATCGCTGGGGAGTCGAACTCAGGCCGGAATTACATGTGAGGAGGCGAGTGCTCTCACTCCACCTACTAAGGGTCTCCTCCCCTCCCCCCTCGAAAGTTTCTGATGAATATTCCGGCAAGTATTGATTGCCGATCTTATCACTATGCTAAACTGGCTTGTAACGCAGCTCCGTACTTTAAGGCACCATGGGAAGGTCTGATGTTCAAATTCTTAACGAAGTCTCAGATTATTTTTTTCATGTTCCCAGCTACTTGCTAGTTTTTAAATAAAGTGCATATTTTCTTATGAACTCTGTCGAGGGATTGCTGAGCACCCCTTGAAAATCTCATTTTTTCTTAATGTTCCCATTTTGTCCCTATGACACTTGAAACCTAACAAACAAAATCAACACCCCATTACACAGAGCTCTCGCTTGGATTCCAGCTGAAACTATCATTGTGTGCTACAGAAATAAAGAAAAATTTGAGGGAACGATTGGTTAATATCGATGAGAAAATTATGAATAAACAAACCAAATTAGTAAATAGCCGACAGGTGAATTGCACTTTTCGCGCGCGCTAATCAGCTACTTCGCTAATTAGCCAGATCGCTTATTAGCTAGATCGCCGGTAATGACTGTGAAATACCTCGTTTGACAACGACAACAACAAAAAATTTGCTGGATAGTTCTGAAAATTGAACTCTTTCTCTATACTCTTCTGAGATGTCCAAGCCCCTGAATATTAGCTTAATTTTCTCTTTTCCTTTTCAGTTGTTTTTCTTTTTTTTTTGTTCAAGATTGTATTATTTCAGAACAAATTCAGACGAAAAAGAAAGAACAAATATTACAACCTTGAGAGAGATCGTGTGGCCAAGTAGTTAGCGCGCTCCACTCTAAACGGAATGAGACGATTCTTGGTCCATAAGCATTTCTTTTGCTTTAATTGTGTATGTCATAACCGAAGGCTCTTCAAATCTCCTTTCAAAACAGCTAATTATAATCTGAAATTGTTAAAATCAAATTATTGTCGCGAAAACGGTATGCATATACACGGAACGGTTCTTGTCGAAATTTAGTTGCAATTATCAATTTCTCATGAAATTACTCGGATTACTACAATAGCTTTTATGAAACCGTATATAGGTGTTTGTATTATATTATACAATTAGAAATACGCAAATCCGTTTTAAGCGAGTTTTTAACTTACGGTTACCAAATTAGTAATAAAAGTTTCATGTTATGAGAGAGATTATATTCTTGAGTCTTTCAGGATTGCTTCATCTTCAGGTGGTAAGACGGCATCTGATGTTTTGATGGCGAGACTTGAAGGCAACCGGCTGCTTTTTCTACTGACGATCCTGGTAAATGCCGTATTTATCTTGGTGCTCAGAAAAATGTACAGCCATGGGTTAACGGCACTGTTGGCGTGTCCAAACCAAAAACACACAAAACTGACAATCGGCTGTATATGTAGGTGGGCCTTAGATGCGTGAATGATTTGCATCACGTGGACCACTTGTGGTGGGAGCCAACAAAGGGCAAAGGCACAGGTAACAATAATGAGCATCCGAACCAC